CATGCATGCATCTTTTTACTTCAGAATAAAGCTTTAGAAAGAAGGTGGGGGGAAAAATCTGTTCTTTCAAATAATTGGATTATATGTGTAAAACGGTGGCAGTCCGTGGTTCGGTGGTAAATTATTATCTTCTATGCAGGAGACCTAGTTTGGTTCTGGCCGATGTATTTCATGCACAGCCACTACCACACATCTGTCAGTGAAAGCCCGCATGGTTCTATGCTACTGAAGAAGTTTCTTCAATCCTCCAAACTAAAGTGGACTAAAAAGACAGACCTGGTCCTCTACCAAAAAACCAGCCAGTAAAAAACTACAGGCAGCAGAGTTGCATTTGGGGTCATGTTGAGTTAGCTTTTCAAGGGTAGCTAACAACAACACGTGGGAACAAGGTAAGCGCACAAGTGTGTATCAGGCACACAAAACAACTCAACACACTGGCACAGTTGTGGCAAACACTTCATCTGCTGGGAACAGTGAGAATCATTTCCTCAAATGCTATCTCCAGCCACGCCCAGGTCTCCCTTCGAGAAGCTAACCAAGCACCAAGGCAATCATGGCGCCCTGCCAGTGGCGTCTCTCTCCACGCTGCCAGGCCAGTCTACCCACGAGGCTTTGGTGGAGAGGGCAAAAGCTGCCTGCTGAGGAATGCTACCCTCAAGTACCCCTCTCTGACAATCTCGAGGGGAGATTGTCATTTCCCTTTCCAAACTCTTCTGCCGGTTCCCACTGGCCTCCCCACCTAGATAAAAGCAAAGGCACCAGAGCGAAGCACCAGTTAGTGGTGTTAAACCACTGGGTGAAGCAGCCACCAGGCCCTCACCCCACCGCACTAGGGCAGTCCTACCTCCAGGCCCTGCACAGGGGGGACCACTGAAGCCAGCATGGGCCGGAAGCCGGGAGCAGACTTGGGCCGGTAGCGCTTCTGCCCCAGCTCATACACCCTCTGGGAGGTGAGGTCCTCATCGCAAGGTTTCTTGGCTGGTAGGTCGGTGTCTCCGTCCCCTTCTGGGTGGTAGCTGGAAGCAATTCGGACTCTGGCCTTGCGAGGCGGTGATGAGGGAAGGGGCTCCTTAGGGTCCAGGTCAGGTGGCAGGGCCACTGGAGGGCTGGTGGATGGGGAGCTGCCTACCAGCGTGGCCTCGGACTCAGAACTGGTCTCTGGCCTGTGGTGGAACTTAATGGAGTTGCTTCTCCTGGGAGGTTTTGGGGGTGTCAAAGGCTCCACTTTCTTGGAAGCCTGCGGGGGATACGTGGGCCCACAGTACGGAAGTAGGTAGTCTATTCTAGGGGGTGTCTGAGGTCGTTTGAAAGTATTAGGGTCAAAGATGGACTTCCTTTGCTTTGGCTTCTTGTAAACAGAGAGCTTCTCAGGCTCTACCATTGAGCTGAGCACAGCCTTGGGCCAGGTCCCACCACTGTTAGAGCTCTCGGGCTCTGCCTTGTCCAAGACGACCTCTGTCACCCCACAGGGACCCACCTCCGTCTCAAAGGGCAACAGGGACCGTCGGCTACGAGCTTCCGCCAGCCCATAGCTGTGTTCCCCGGATGGGTCCGAGCGGAAGGAGCTCAGGCTGCGCTCAGAGGCACTGGTGCAGGTCTTGGGGGAGACCTGAAAGGGCCCCCCGGAGAAAGGCTTGTTCAGGAAGGAGCTGCTAGCTCCTGGGGGTGTGTTCTCTTTCCTGTTCTCCAGCCTGTCCAGGCAGAAGATGTCTGTCTGTGTGGAGTTATTGTGTTGCATCAAGTTCCGTTTATTGTGAGCCTGCACCTCCGGGCCGTGGATTCGAAAGTTCAATGTCTTTTCCGAGTCCTTGAGGTTTTCACATATGTTCTGGCCACTCCATGAGGAGTTTTGAGGGAACACCTAGGCAGACAGTTTCATAGGAGTGGGAGAAGGTGAGACCGAAGGAGTTCAGTGTATACCATCCTTGTAGACAGAGCAGTGACCAGGAGGAGGCCACACTACCCTTGACAGTCAGACAGACATGCACACACGCACATGTGCACACCCACCCACACACATGCACACACACGCACATGCGTGTGCACATGCACGTGTGCACGCACCACCTCTCCTTCTGACAGGTGAGGCTGTCCACTGGCTCTGCTCATGGCCTTGGCCATTTTGAAGAGCATGTGAGCACTTTCTGAAGTAACCTGCATGGTGTCCTGCACATTTAAACAAAAACAAATGAATAAACATAAAGTAAAACTGCATTATCAAAAAATACATCTCTTAGTTGGAGCCCTTCATTTGAAATGGGACGGCCACTGGATAACCGTTCCGTAGTTCCTCAAAAAGATAGAGAATGACCATAAATCTAAAAATCAAGCCAACTGCCACTGAGTTGATGCCAACTCATGGCAACCCTGTGTAGGGTTTTTAAGACTGCCAATCCTTATGGGAGTAGGCAGTGTCGCCTCTCCCCTGAAGAGTGGCTGATGCTGACCTTGATTTGCAGCCTAGTGTGTACCCTATCAGGATTCCTTAAATTCCCCAATGATGCGGCAGTGCCACTTCTAGGTATCTATCACAGAGACTTGAAAGCAAGGACTCAAAACATCTAACTGCCCACCAAATGTCACTACAGAAGCACTCCTAATAGCCAAAAGGCGGAAAACACATCTAACAATCGATGTAGGGACAATCAAAATGTACTCTAACCCCACAATGGAATCTAATAGCCATAAAGATAAATGAAGTCCCAATACAAGCCACGACAGGGCTGGACCTTGGACTCATTATGCTGAGTGAGATATACTCGTCACAGATCCCACTTTTATGAACTACCTAGAATACACAGATGCAGATTCATGGTTTGTTTGAGGTCATAGAAAATGTTTTGAAACAAATAGCAGTGATAGCTGCACAATATTGTAACTATAATTAGTGCCACGGAATAGCACGTTTAAAAATTGTTAAAATGGTAAAATTGTATTTTATATATAACATAATAAAAATATATACATTCCTGAATGAAATGTATGGACCTATCTTTCCCAAATTCCTATTGTAATGCTTTTCTACACTGTAGAAAACTACAGGACACACTTATTAACCTGCTGTCTGGATTCAACACTGTTTCACCAAGTTGTTTTCTATCCTGTCTATATCTATATTGAAGGTGCCTGATGGTCTAGGGGTTTTATGAGTTATGAGTTAGAATCAATTCAATGACAGGGAGATACCTATATTGAAGGACTTTGAAAAAATATATATATATATATTTTAAAAAGAACACTTGAAAATAGGTTATAAATATTTTGACTTTACCACTAACAATTTTAACAGATGTAACCACAATACCACCATTATACCACAGAAATTAGCAACCCTTTCCTAACATCAATTAATTATCCAGTCCATATTCAAATATGCCTGATCATCCCCCAAATTTTCTTTATAACTGTTTTTGTTTTTAAACAAGGATTTAGTCCAGATTCATGCACAGAATTACCAGATAATGACCCAGCAGTCCTACTCCGAGGTAAATACCACTGTGTAAACCAAAAGGGTACCAGCGACGCTGAAGAGAAGCTTGGTCTTTTCCCGCCCCAGACAGCCAAGACAGAGCCAGGCTCAAACAGGGCTTACCTTCAGCAAAGAGAGGGTCAGGGAGTCCTGGCAGTTCCTCAGCAGGGATTCACATTCATTCAGAGACTTATTGTCCAGAGCAATGCCATTGATCTAGGGTGAACAGACAGCTGGTCAAGACCACAGGCAGCGAGGTAAGCGTGAGCTTACCGGTCCACTCTAACATGGGGGGTGTCCATCTGCCATGTGATGTGGGGCAGGAGATGGGGTCTGTATAATGCTAGGTCCGGAGCCGGCAGCAGGACACAGAGCCCTTCTTACGACGATACAAAGAGCCTAACTATGGTACTGCTGAGACCAATGAATGCACATCCTTATAACCATTCTTGCCAAAGATGCTTGACTACCTGGAACCAGAAGAGCAAGGATCCTGGAGGATCAGCTCAGCCCGGCTGCTTCCTCTTATGTAACACTGATCACGACTCCCTAATTCCAAGCCTTACTCCTCCCTGTGAAAACCTGAAGGAAATGAGGACAAGCAAAGTGAGATCATGGCTATAAGCAGACTCTGTCAACTCTGGAGTGTCCCATGCAATGAAGCATCATCAGAATCCACAAAGAATCTCAAGCCCTGACCTCTAACTCCCTACTCATATCCCCACAGACACGTTCAAATCTGTTCAACGTATGTGTGCAGTGGGGTAAGTTAAACAGATGGGACTTCCCGACCATGGCACACTACTTAGCAAAAGAAAAGGGACAAAACTAGTGACAAGCACAGCAAACTAGTTGGGTTGCATGAGTATTGTGCTGAATGGAAAAAGCCAGTCTCAAAAGGTCACAGACTGTATGATTCCATGTATATTAGAAAACAACGAAGACACGATTGTAGAGTTGTTTCCAATTCCTGGCAAGTCCATATCTGTCAGAGCAGAACTGTACTCTATAGGGTTTTCAATAGCTGATTAAAAAAAACAACCTTTTAATGTGAATTAGGTGGGGATGTACCTTTCAGATCATTAATTTTATATCCACAACTTAAACTATTTATCAAGCCTCTGAGAAGCTTGCCCAGTGTCTGCTCCCTTCCTTCGCTTCCTCTTCTCCCTCTTGAGGAATACTATCTTCCCCAACCTTTGAGTTAACGCCAGACTGCCTCTAGGCTATAACTTCACTTCTGCCGCCTGCCCACCTACAGGGTCACTACAAGTCAGAGTGGACTCAACAGCAGTGAGTTATTCTGCTCCATTGGCCCACCTATCTACCACTGTACTGCTTTCAGGCGGGTTTTAACGACGGTAGCTGTAGAACAGACAGATTCGGGCATAGAAGGCCTCCTGCCGCTGTCTTCTGAAGTTCTGCTTTACTGATTCTGGGTCTTTTTCCTCTCCACACAACGTTGGTAGTTCATTTGTCCATTTCTTTAAAGAATGATGCTACTATCTGGATCAGAATTGTGTTATATTTATAGATGGATTTGGGTAGTACTGACATTTTCACAACATTGAAAGTGGCTGGTTTTTCTTCTAGTTGCTTCTGAATGAACGAACACCTGCAAACGCTCAGTTGGAAAGCTGAGTAAGTTAACCACTGACATTACCCAGGACTCTTGCATAACAAATTGTAGAACTGGAGAGCAGATTAGTAACTGCCAGGGATTAGGGATGGTGAGTATAAAGGACTGGGAGTTACAGTAAAAGAAACATGATGAGAGAGATCTTGTGGTAATACAGATGGATGACATGACACGATTCATGAGATAACATGACACAGACTTATATACACACACACCACCATATATATGTCAATTTCCTGGTTTTGATGAGATAATTATGTAGGATACAACCACAGAGAGAAACTGGGCGACAGGTACATGGGACCTCTCTGTACTATGTTTGCAACTTCCTGTGGATCTATGATCATTTCGAAATCAAAATTTAAAAAGCAGGTATTATTATAAAGTAGGAGAATAATTTGGGGTTTTTCCTTTCTAAATTTTCCTTATCTTAAACTCGTTCACAATGGTAATACTGCTTTTAAATGAAGCTCATTTAAAAAGTTTGGAAAGCATCCACAAAGATGTAAGACAATAAACTACCTCCTCCCACAGACTCTGTGTGCAAATACCATGACCCTATGGTACACGATGAGAAGATTATATCAAATGTTCAACATGCAGAGCCTGGCGCACATTCCACGGGCCTCCTGTAGGGATGTTGCAATGGTCACTGCAGCGGTATTTGCAAAGGCAAAGACATCCTGAGTGCTCATCAGGAGGGAAGAGGTTCAACAGCTGGAACCTCCGCCACTAAGGATCCACAGGCAGGCCCTGAGGTGACTTAGGGAGATGACATGTGCGACGATAAAGTATCTCCAAACATGCTGCTAACCACAGAGCAGCAAAGTTAGCAACTGGACGGTCTGATCCCATTGGATGAAAAAAAAAAAATGGAAAAAAAAAATCCAAAAAATTCCGAAAGAAAAAAAAAAAAAAACAAACAAAAACAAACAATTTAAAAAGCTTCCCAGTTAGTAGGCTGGGCCTCTGTGACGAGAGAAAGACTGGTTTGACACTCTTTTGTTATGAATGGAATTTTGTTTGTGCCATGAAAAAAAGTCTGACTTCTTTAATTTATAAAAAGTCAGTTAACAATATTAAGTGTGAAATGAGGGATATGACTTATAAAGATTGTGCTCCTTAATATATATATCAATACCACCTACATGAGACCAAATGGTCACCAATTACTCTGAAATGATGATGAGAATGTAAGGGGCAATCAAAGAAGCAAGCTTAACGAAACCAAGCAGCCAGAATGGAATGATGAGAATGTTCATTTATTGTGAAGAATGCTACAAACAATTTTATACAAATGTTTGAGAGAGAACATGAACTGCGGTCTCACCTTTCACTGTGGAGTATATTATGTAAGGGAAACACACACACACACAAAGGTATACCTGCCCTTTAGCTCAACAATTACACAGCACTTTCAGGAGTTTCCTCTCCAGAGAACCATGAAAAATTACTGTCAAATGTTTTGAGAATGATGAGGGCAATGAATGTACAAATGTGCTTTACACAACTGATGTATGCATGGATTGTGATGAGTTGTATGAGCCCCTAATCAAATGATTTTTTAAAAATGACTGTCATTGAGCTACTTCTGAGACACAGCAACTCTGTAGGGCAGGACAGACCGCCCCTGTGGGTTTCCAAGGCTGTAGCTCCTTATGGAGTAGAAAGCCCCGTCTTTCTCCAGAAGAGCAGGCGGTGGTTCCCAACTGCTGACCTTGTGGTTAGCAGCCCAACATGCAACCACTAAACCACCGGGGCTCCCAGGGACACCATTAGGGCTTTCCCAAGTGGATATGCACAGGAGGAATTGATTTTAGGACTGTTCCTATCTGCAAAAATTGAAACAACTTATATATATAGCCATCAAATGTGAGATTTAAGCTACATGTGATAAAAACAGACCACCACAAGGTCAATAAAAATAATGAGTACTGACATGGAAACAGAGCTGCAATGTAGAAGGTAACTATAGAGGAGCACAGTCTGATTGTACTACTATACTGTAAAGAGAGATCAGAACCCTATGACGAGTATGATGAGCATTTATGGTCTGGGGCACACCCACCAAATGCAGCCAGAGATGATTTCTGGGAGCAGGATTCAATGGAAGAAAGGGAACATGACCACTTTTCACTTTATATGACCTTGTATTGCTTCAATATTTCACAGTCAACAAGTCCTAGCTAACAACATAAGGCAGCAGAAGGACAGGGAGAGGAGGAGGAGGTGAAACTACCACTAATTGCAGATGACATGATTCTATACAATGAAAACCCCAAAAGCTCTACGGCAGGAGTACTGGCAGCGATAAAGGAATACGGAAGAGTGGTGAGTTACAAGATCAACAAACACAAGTCTATTGGTTTGCTATATACATCAGACAAGACCACAGAAGAGATCAAGAAGGCAGTA